TTAAGACCAAATAAACGTTATCTTTTAATCTGATAGATCATATCAGATAATTCCTCTGATGTAAAGCTTCATAAATATTTTGATTTTCTTCCTTTAGAAGTTATCATACTGTATAATTACTAAATATTTTTAATTACAATCAAGCCTCAAGCTAAATAACTGTTGATAGATAAACATGTATAACAATCTTTAAATGTAGAGTATAGGAAATTGTCTTAATTGCAATCAAGTTTCAAAACTAATTAACTGTTAATGGAGAACATCAGACAGATAAACATATATTACTTCTAATTTGAGTTAAACTTCTTCTTAACATAACAAAACAGACTTGTGTAAACATATATACAAAACTTCTAGATATGTATAATATAAACAACACCCTTTAAAGTAACATCATTTCAAAAATCTGACTTATTCCCTATTTTCATCATAAAAATAAATTTAAAGAGAGAAATTAAGCGAAAAATGTATCAATTTATCCATAATTTATAATCATGTCAAACACAGGATGTTGAGTCTTTCTTATGTATGGAAAATTATCACTCTCCTTTGTTAAAACCTTCAATAATAAAAAAAAAAAGCCCCCCTCAATAAACTTCTTAAGATAATATAGCATAGAAATGCTAATATCTCCTTTGTTATCACAATGGATGCTTAGTCATATATAAATTAATCCTAAAATGGCATCTCAGTTAAGTCTAAATGAATTAAATTTATCAACCCAACTTTATTTAATGAATCTTATCATAACCAAGAGAGAAGAATAAGTCCTTTAATATTTAGGAAAAATGTTATACTTTCATTCTATTTGGAAAACTTTATGATGGATCATCGTGCTTCAATCAGTAACTTTCTTTCTCAATTGACTAATTTTGTATCTCAACATATACCAGTAGTGGGGAGTCATTTTTTCCCATGTTATAAGTGTTCAATACAACCTGAGTTGTTTGAAGAAATAAAGAATTGGTATTGTCAGCAACCCATCAACACATTCAGTAGCATGCAATTTAATGTTTCTGCACTATATCATGCTTTGTTGCATGAAAGCAGGGAAACTAGGATAGGATGTCTCATACGAATGAGCGAGACATTTTTGGGAGAACTGATGCAGCAGTGCAATACAGCTAATAGTGTGCAAAGCCGAGACATGCTGCAGATAGGATTAGATATCTTAAAGGACAGGTAAGAAATACTTTCAACATTTTTGTATATGAAGTTACTTAATGAAGCAATATGATTCATAAAGCTAGTCTTACAATGGTATTATTCATAGTTTTATAATTAAGGTGGTATCCAACACCTTACCTAAAATAAATTTGGTTTGTTGAGTTTTCATAAAATTTTAACAAAGTATTTATTTTGAACCTTTGATAAAAATTTCAAAATATTTGAACCAACCATTTCTTTATAAAAATTACACTGGGTATATAACAGTTTAACAAACACTAATTTCAACCATTGAGAAGCTTATTACAATGCCCTTAAATACATATCATAATTAAAACATTTAGCTGATTTTACAGAGTTATCCCCCTGTAGTGTTAGGTACATCTTAATTACACAAATTATATAGAAGTTTGGTTTGAAAACAAACAAAAAAAAAACATAATACACAAATTAATCACAAATTAAGTCTGTTGGGTGGTATGGACTGTCTGGTGCTTCTTCTTAAAATGAGTGGAGGTGCTGGTAAGGGTAGGATGACTTCCTGGTGTACTGCAGGTGGTATAGGTTGGACTGCTGCTTGGTGTGGTGGTTGATGTTGAGGAGGGTTAATAAGCTGTCTTACAGGGGGGATGAAGTTTCTAATAGCTGGTATAGCATTTAACAAAAGTCTATGGATACGGTTTAAAACCACTAATACACTAATCATGGTAAAGATTAGAACTTGAAATTGCTCTACAAGAAGAAAATAAAAAAAAAATACAAATTTTATAAATTGTCACTACTTAAATTGTACCAGGCTTTATTATAGAGTTCATCTTCAGAGTTTGAAATATTTTGAGAATGTCTTTTCCTCCAAACAATAAATCCACCTATTAGAAAGAATATCACTGTAAGTAAAAAAAAAAAAGAGTTAAAAGCAGTGATATTGAAAAAAAAAAGAGTTAAAAGCAGTGATATTGAAATTACAATTTAAATTAATAATTATTTCTTTTATCCTAATAGTACTTATATTTAGGGGCAGTAGGAATCTCCTGTAGAGGAAGACAATGCTCAATTAACCCTCCCCTACTATTCCTCAAACATTTCTTCCCCAAACAAATGAGAGCTATCACCAGAAGTACTACAAGAAAAGAAATAATTTAACTAGTTATGGTATCCATTTCAACATATAAAGAATCATCGTTCTTAACTGGAATGTAGTCTGATTGATAGTAATACTTTTTTAATAAGAACACCAAAATTAAGACAATTAAAAGAAACAAAATTACTCCAAGAAAAATTATATAAACTTTTAAGCTACCTGTTAAAGTGGTGACGGTTGCTACTATCCACGGTGTTGCCGAGTTCGTCTCATTTTCTGTAGTAGTCTAAAATAAAAAATTAAATAATAAACTACATGTACACAAATAAAATAACATAACCTAATCCACACCCTACTACATGTTACAATCAATACACATTTAGCTTTAGCTGAATTTAAAGCATGAGAAATTTATAAGTATAAATGTCTAAAATAGTGAAAATAAGTACTTTCAAAATTGTTTACGTTAATTTTAACAGCAGTGTTTTCATGTTTTTTTAGAATACATCACCACAATGCAATGGTTATGTTAAGTAGGGATTCTCTTTGCCCTATAGGTGAAAACCCACCTGTTGATGGTCAGGGAGAGTGCTGGACATTTGGCTGTGCTCGTACACTGCTGATGTTGGAGCGCTTTGAGACCATTCTGTCGAGGAGTCAGGAGAACCCCCCTCCGTATGAGGAGAGGTCTCAACCACACTAGTAGTGGAAAAAAGGTCTTCCAGTGACTGTAAACAAAAACAATAATATTTATAGACAGTTATCAAATTTAATATTTATAGTTTTTAACACAAATCTGTTTAATAGAAATACAATTAAAATTATGCTAACAAATATTTCTTTTCTTATATTGTTATACTTTCAAAAGAAAATAAAGGGAATTTGTCTTTCATAAAGTAGGTGTCAATTTTTTGTAAACAATAAAAATGGCGGATGTTGAAAACAAGTTACGTAATAGCATCTTACACAAACTTTATCCGCAATCTGCACTTCCGTGCTAGGGGTTGCTGAAATGGCCTGGCAACAATTGTCTATGGTGCATGTTTTGATGGCTACTTTTTCTAACTGCTGGCCAAAAGTCATTAATGTACTGGAACCCGCCAGTCTGTCCAGGGTGATCTTCTTCACTGAAGTCGGCCCATTGAAAATGTAGCTGCCTTCCCCCTCATACAGGCACTGCAGTTCCACTACCTCGTAGCTTTCATCAACCACACTTCTGCATTTCCTTATATTAAGGTCATGCACTTGGCCATTACATACAACAATACTCAACAACAACAAACACTTAGCGGGCACCATTTTTGATTTTTCAGTTTTTTCTCTGTGAATCGTTTGCGCATGTTCACATAATCAACAGTTTAATTAAAAATAAAAAGGCGGGAGATTATGATTGTGTCAACAAAAAAAAAAAGAACAATACGAAAAAGAATAAATATGAAAGAATTGAGATGTTGCTATATGATCTTCAACAATAGCATAACTCGAAAAAAAAAGGGGGGAACGGAAACATATAATAAGAAAATATTAGGTACGAGACAATGGCACTCAAAAAAAAAAATTTCAGAAAAAAATCGAACGTTTTGGGTTTTTTTTTTACAATGTAGCTGCTTTAGATAAAGATTTTAAGTTAAGAAACCCAAAAATAAAGCAGATGAAATATTATCACAGTATAGTTTCTAGAGATTCATCAACACGTTGTTTTGTTGTTAAGCGCACCACATAAACAATTTGGTATAGAGTTGTTATGCGAAACCTAAGAATGGGGTGGTTATCCCTCCATTAGTCCCACCCCATACTTCAAAGTGTAATATTATTGGTTTAGATAATATTAGCTAGAAAAATGAAATAAATATAGTAGTGCGTATTTTTCGTTTACAAGTCAGTACTTCTAACCTTTGTCTAGAAATCTATTTACGATTAAGTGTTATAATGGCAGCCGAAAATGTTCAATTAAGTCAAATTATTACTTCCACTGGTAGAACGGAATACAAAACTCAATTCAGGAGAGGGAAAGTGCTTACCTATAAAAAGTCCGCTAGAGGACTCTTTTATTTAGACTTGGCTGTGTCAAATGGATCAATGAAGCTGAATTTAGGGCTAGACGAGCTGGATGATCTGTTTACACTGAGGGGGCACCTAGAGTCCCTAACTGCATACTTTCCACAGGTAAGACTATTTTCTTTCTTTTTGATTTTACACGAGGTTCACATGTAGGAGTTTTCTTTAAAAACCGAGGAAAATTAAAGATTATACCCTTTGAGGTGTTTTTTTTCTCTGTTTGTATGCGCTTACCGTAAACAACAGGAAGGTTTTAAGTATTGTTTATTACCGTTTATCTTTCTGTTTATCTATCTACCTCGCTTTTGTTAGGGGAGATATCGGTGTTCACATTTGCCTTTTATTTTAACTAATTTAATGCAACAATTGAATAACATAAAACGAAGATGTGGTATGATTGTTAATAAGATAACTCTTCACAAGAGACCAAATGATACAGAAATTGTCAACTTTTGGTCACCTTGCGACCATCAACAATAAGCAAAACCCACACCTCATAGTCAGCTATAAATAGCTTCAAAATGATGAATGTAAAACAAACATCCGAGGGGAGAAAAAAGATAACAACCTAATTTATGTACAAAATAATGAACGAAAAACAATATGCACACCACCAACACCTCTCGCAAGTATAAAACTTTCTTCATAACATTTGAGTTTGAGTTTTATTTTATTTTTCATGTTTTAGCCGCTCTCCCAGCCACAGGAGCAGGATGTGCTAAAAGAAAATGTAGCGCCGGTTTATGCACCGCCACCACCACCAACACCTTCCGTAAGTATACATTTATTAATGTAGAGTTTAAATATGTTCAAGAATCATGATTGATTGTTGGTTGCTTAACGTCCAGTGGCAAATATTTCATACATGTTCAGGGTGAGAACAAGTTAACAATACATACAATAGGTAAGTCTTGCAATAGAGGGTGGGTTTTTTTTTTCTTCTTCTCAAGAATCACCATGTATTCTGAACTTGTTCTCACCCTGAACATGTATGAAATATTTGCCACTGGACGTTAAGCAACCACCACCAACACCTTCCGTAAGTATACATTTATTAATGTAGAGTTTAAATATGTTCAAGAATCATGATTGATTGTTGGTTGCTTAACGTCCAGTGGCAAATATTTCATACATGCTCAGGGTGAGAACAAGTTAACAATACATACAATAGGTAAGTCATGTATTCTTAACTTGATACACTTAAATGCGAACAAAGCAATACTTGTTTTTTAAGTATAGAATTGAACTTGCAAACAACCTTTTGTCCTTAAAAAAAAAGATAAGCAACACTGAAAGTATTTCATTTCTCTCTGGTTTATTTATTTAAATATTTCATTTTTATTATTGCAGGCACCTCTAACAATAATATATGAAAACGAGACGTCAACTACCACTCCACTTCAAACTATAACAGACCCGATGTGGAGCAAAGGAAATATGATTCCGGTGAGGGTGGCCGCAAAGAGACCGATACGTTAAGAATTAAACCCACAGTGGTCTGGGAAGAATACAAAATATGAACAGATTTCCCCTGTGCAAAACAATTTATATGATCTCTCTGAGGAGGAAATGGGAGCCTTTTTCCAATCGATGTGATGATGCTCAATGTGGTGTGACTTTCATTCAATGTGGTGTTTATAGGAATAACATTTATAAATTTTATTACGGACATATATGCAAACAGACTGACACGGTTAGTTTTTTTTTTAAATATTTAATAAATACTATCACTAATATGTGTCTATCTTATAATGTCCATAGGCATAGCTTTCAATTGGGTTCTTCCAGTAACGTTTATCATCAAAACTACACAGTCCTTTTTTCACAACGGTATCCATGAAAAGTTCATGATTTTTACTTCTAATGCACGTCATTGAATTGGTGGTCGTAGTTTCTTCATTCAAACATTTCTTATACATTTCATGTCGGAGAGTCTGTTTTATTTCAGTTTTTGAAATGCCTTTCGCCACTTTTTTTTCCTTTTCGCATGTGATACCTTCTGTAGAGGTCTGGTTATACAAAAGGCTGTACATTTTAGGTCTCAAGCCAACGAATTCTTTTAAAGGAACACCTGAAAAGATTTTTTGAGGCACATGAGAAAGACAATATTTAATAATAATTTAACAGAAAATTCAAAGAAAAAAGGAAAATTTAAAAGAAAATTCAAAAGAAAAAGGAAAATTTAACAGAAAATTCACAAGAAAAAGGAAAATTTAACAGAAAATTCTAAAGAAAAAGGAAAATTTAAAAGAAAATTCTAAAGAAAAAGGAAAATTTTACAGAAAATTCAAAAGAAAAAGGAAAATTTTACAGAAAATTCAAAAGAAAAAGGAAAATTTTACAGAAAATTCACAAGAAAAAGGAAAATTTGAAAGAAAATTTATGTTAAACTTTAGAGAGAGAGAAGAATAAAATGTTTGTTTGAAAGAACTCACCACCAAGCTCATCTTTAAATTTCCCAACGACTTTCTTATATTTGCTGGAAAAGAGATGTTTCGTTTTGTTGAATGAGCCGTAGTTGGAGGTATCGAATAGGTCTTTGATAGGTTTCATGTCTTCATATACATCATCAGTCAGAATCTCATAACACAACGAATCTAAAATGAATTCAGAAATGTTAGCACAATACCAAAGAGGAATCTCTTCCTTTATTCTACTTATACAAAGGAGAAAACAATGAGAAATATTAGAAATTTAAAGAAACAATGGCTTTTATTTTAACAAACAAACAAACAAAAAAATATCATACCTGTATCTGTAAACAGCAAGTTGATCTTGTCACCGTACTGAGGCTTCATCACCTTGTAATGGAATTCATACATCAGTCTCTTTGAAAGGTCTAAAATAGCTTGCCCGGCATAGATGGGTTTATTGAGAGTTAGGTTGATCTGTTGGTTGTGTACTCCAACGAGGTCTTCATTGAAAATTTGGCAGCATAGAAACGACGGCTGAGCTACTAACTTTTTTAGTTTTTCTTCCGAGGCTGAATTGATTAGTCTTAGATTCATCCTAGCACGCAAATTTTCCATACATTTACCAAAAACACTGAAAAAGTAGGAATACTTTTAGATAAGTACTAGAAGCTGACACAAAAAACCACAAAACATAATTAAATCAATGTGGGTAATGCGACAATGAGACAACAAGCAAACTCGAGATCTTGACAACACTTTAAAATCTTACACATTTAAAAATAACATAGATATAGGAAGATGTGGTGTGAGTGCCAATGAGACAACTCTCCATTCAAATAACAATTTAAAAAAAAAGTAAACCATAATAGGCTAATGTACGGCCTTCAACACGGAGCCTTGGCTCACACCGAACAACAAGCTATAAAGAGCCCCAAAAGTGTAAAACCATTCAAACGAGAAAACCAACGGTCTAATCTATATAAAAAAAAAAAAAACGAGAAACATACCTATTACACATCAGTTTGAAAAAGTCCTTCTCAAAGTCGTTGTTTGCCTGTTTTCTCATGTTGGTGTTGAATTCTATGTAGGTTTTAAGCCATGCCTTTTGTTGAAATCCTAATACTCTATGTATTTTAGTTATTTTCATTCCAAGTTCTGTATAAAGTTGTAAATTTTGATAATGCACCACATAGTTTGTCTTTTTCTTCAGAGTTGGAATTAATTTTCGGGTTTTAATCCTAGGTTTCACTTTTTCCACACCATTTGCATTCTTCACAGAATTTAACTTTCCCCATAAATCAGTACTGTATTTCGATAGATCTTTGTCTTCAATGAGTAGATGTTCGGGTGCCAGAGGATAATCGTTATGTTTGTTGTGGAGATGTTCAGGATATTCTATGTCTACTTCTAAAATGTAGCCTTCTTTTGCGTCTGACTCGACTTTCTGTAACTCAAAATGACTAATTTCATCTTCATTTAAAAAATGGAAAAAACCATAAGGCAATGGTTGAGACATTGCCCAACCGTACAAATTGTTAGCATCTAGATACATGATGTGTTTTTTCACATCTGATTCATTAAAGTCGTCAACATATTGATGATTAGCTCGACTGTATTTTTTGGTAACCATACTGACCCCACCTCGTGTTCCAAGCTCTATCATGTTGTACATGAGGGGATCAGTTATTAAATCCAGGCAGACACCGCTCATTTTCAATGCTGCTTGCCTTGCTAAACCTGGACTCGTGAAAAAGTGACTAGCATCCAACTTGTAATATTCAAGAGTCATGTCACGGAATCGTTCGAAAACATCTGCTAAGAGTAGCGTATCTGTTAATACATACAAATTGTGAAAATCCCCTAAGGTTTTCATATTGAACGTGTTCCAGACCTTTTGAGCGTGTTCATACTTTTCATCAGAAATAGCTTCTTTGGTTAAGGAATTATAAAAAGCTGCTTTTGAAGGGAGAGCTGTCTCTTCAAATCTTTCAGAACAATTCACATAATCATAACAGTATTCGTTTTTCTGTAGCAAAAGTTTAGCGTGTTCGTCATTGGGGAAAGCTTTTCGAAATTGTTTGAAATTTTTAAAACCGTCTGCCGCTAAATTAGCAATTAACGTCTCCAAAGAGCTACTTATGCACTGGTATGTGTCTAAAAACCTCAGTTGTCCAACAGAAAAGGACACATATTTCTCCATATTGTTTGGTATACATGTTAATTTTTTGTCCTTGAATTTACCAGCTTCCGACAGCAAAAGGTGTGCATCAAAGTTCCGCAAATTATGAAAATAGACCGGAATGAAATTTGGATTTTTCAACATCAAGTTGCATCTCTGACAGGCTGCCCCTCTGTAATTGCTATACTTTGGTGATTCGTTATCTTCGTTTATACCTAAATGGTCGTGGTCACGAACTTTGATTATTTTGCCTGAAAATGGTTGATTGCATACATAACAGTTTGTAGCATTTTGAAATTGCGTTTCGGTTTCCACACTCATAATTAACTCCTCATAAATGTTCCTCAATATATCATCTATGTATTCTTCCTCTGTAAATATATTTTCAAAAAAGTGTTCGACTGCGTTCTCTCCTCTGTATACAACGGCTGGCTTGGAATATCTATCATTTGAACTGACCACAACGTAGGAGTAACCACATGGAACAAATTTTGTTTTATGTGTTGTTGACGATTGATTTGGGTCTGGTTGACAAGTATCCATCTTTTTTGCAAAGCATTCAAAGTCTGCATAGATGACAAAAGGAACACGCATTTGTTTATGAAAGTCTCTAAATTCTAAAATGGCTTCTCCTTCTTTTGGATAAGTCACTTTTTGAAAATCAAACTTATTACAATATAGTCTGTGTTCATTTAATAAGTCTTGTCTTATGAATCCGTGAAGACATCTTCTACAGTAAAACCGTTTGGTGTGAAATTTAGTCATTGATCCAAGGAAACGATCTAAATTTTTGATCCAACAGTAGTGAGTTTCCCCGTTCTGTGATAAATACAATAAATCGATCTCCCTATCTACATTTTCTAACTTTGTTAAATATAGTGGGAACACTTCTTCGTTTTCAAAGCCAAAAACATTGATTGAAATATTGTTTTGTTTCTCAAATTTCTCCATTTTTGTTAAAGACACAGGATATTCAATATCGTTCATGTTCAATTCATTTTCGTGTGCCGTATAATGTGACTTCCGATATGGATTATATTCCATCGGATGTAGGGCTGCCAGTACAGACCATAGGAAACACTTTTGGTCATCATTTCTAATGTTGATAATTCCACCAGTGGCCTTAATTTTGTATGGTAATTCCATATAATTTGAACCAGCTATGGGTGAGTATGGTAAAGTATGTACTTCGAGGCATATAACTTTATTCAATATCCAGTTAGATCCCTTGTTGATAAATTCTTCCATTACTCTGTTAATCGTTTGGAAAGCTTCATTTAAATTATGATCATTACTCTCATTCTGAAGAGATATGTAACTTTTGCTGCGGAAATGTGGGTGTGCCTTTTCTTGTTGTCCATCATTAATATCTCGAACCATCTTCACTCGAGCATTTACATACCATTTGACATTTTTTTGTTTCTTTTGCTGAGATACTATTATTTCTTCAACATCAGTTTTCGTATTAGCCAAAAAACGTAATAAATCATATTTTTCATCACCAATAGGCATAAGGTCTACACGATTCACTGATTTGTTAATGGCGCTTTTCTTAAAACGAAACCGTTTACGTTTTATCTGACTGACAACTGGCTCCTCCGTTTTAGGCATTCTACCTCCTGTTTGGTTTAACGGATGATGGTTGGCAACATGGGTGAATAAAGAATCAACATCATCAAAGGAGACATCACAGTGTCTACATGTAAGTTGCTTAGATAATTGTTTATCTCGTTTGTTTATTGTGCGCTGTCCAGAACACTTATTACCATGTTTGACTAAATTATGTTTTTGCGTAAACGATTTCCCACACGCTAAACACTGAATTCTGTTAAAATGTGAATTCATATGTCTGTTCAAATTTCTGTTGTATTTGAAAGTTTTATCACAAATATCACAATTTAACTTTGGTCTTTTGACATCAACATTTTCAGCACATGATTTCTTACGTTTGAGTTTATTCTCAACCTCTATGGCTGCCTTCACCAACATACCATCATCAGATTCGTTAAAATGTAAATCATTGGTATGAACACCGCGGTGAGCCATGCTTTTCACTTTACACAAAATGATAACAGCTACCTAATTTCCTCAATTTAAATACACGTGACGATGTCACATGACATCTAAATTCGAAACGATAACCATTTCATCTTTGGTTTTTGTTTACTTTTCTCTTGCAGCATTGTTTTAAGGGACATAGCGATATATGGTTTACTTTCCTCGTGTTGTGTAATTTTTCTCTTTTTGTTTGACTTCTTCAATTTTTCAGGTTGAAAGTCCTCTACTAACTGTTTACTTTCCAAGTCATCGATATTTTCTTGTTTATCTTTCGGCTGATCTTGATCTCGATTTTCTCTTTTTTCCGGCAATGTCTCTGGATTTTTTAATTGTTCATACCTCAGTTTAGGAATCAGAATCAGTTCGCGAGACATAACGGAGATATGTCTTTAGGAAAATAGGAAGCAGTCCTCTTATTTTTAATAAATATAATTTTCTCTGTTTATATGCTGCTCCTTTGGAAACAATTTTACGTATGAGCTTCTTTTTCTTGGTCAGCAAAGTTTTATCAACACTTGAAATGGAGCAAACTCCTTGCATCACATTGTATATTATTTCAACCAACCATTCCAACTGTTCCTTGCTTAGTGATTTAATCGCTTGAGAAATTTGTTTTGCAGTAGCATTCAAAAGAAAATGTGCTAAATAGTCCTTCATTCTGCAGAGTGATATACGATAGGTGTCTGTCCAACTCCACGATCTGTTGTCAACTGATATGTTTTGTCTGTATGTGGATTTAAATCAATAATTAATGGGCGATAGGCTACAGATGTCGCCTTCTTGTATGCATCTAAAAAGTATTTAGACTGTCCGGGAAAAATCTGCCTACCAAGAGTTTGAATTTGTAACTGATCTCTATAATTCCGAAATAAAACAAAGTAATGACAATTGAGGGAGGCTGTTCTCATGGCTTTACCTTTACAATACAAGTTATGTAGAATCTGAATCAAAGTGATTGAATTATGGTGAATTCCTACAGTTAAGAGATGAACCAGTTCTTTACTATCTGCAGATTCCACCATCAGGTCATCTAAAACAAGAACCTTATGCCCTTGTAAAGTCCCCCATTCTGATAAAACATCCATATGGGGGAAACCTTGAAAAAATTCAATGTTTGGTATTGCTGATTTCATTTCATCGAAAACTGACTGCCAAATACTGTAACAGTAAAATATCTTCGACGGTGGTACTTGAAACATACCATCTGCATTTTCAAGAAGGTTTTTGGTATACATTGTTTTTCCTGAATTTGACGGACCAACAATGAATATTGATGTTGGACTCTGAAATTTGAGCAAACTTTCCTTCTCCCACCAGTCAACCATACTGTTCAAGTGAAATAATAAAAATAGCTGAGAGACAAACTGTTTTATATGTAAAAAAAAAGAGAGGCAACAACAACACCAACAATAACATATAAGCATTAATTTTTTATTTTGATACAAGATTGATTCACAACATTACACACATTGTTCACACAGCAATGAAACCGATTGTCTATAAAACTGTACACAAAATTGTCATTCAATTGATAGTCTTCTGAAAACACATCTGTTATCTGTTGCATGGTAAATCCTCTCACACGACACATTAAATAAAACAAACAATATTGTCCACACACAACTGTGTCATCACCTTGTAGTCTTTTCTCGTTTGATTGTATGTATGCATAATTCCGCATGAATTTGTTAAAATAAACAGTGAGTTCTTTTTCTGAATACCCAAAAGAGTCAAATACTTCAAGACTGTTCTTTCTATTACAGAAAAATGCTACCCAATGTCTTCCTGGTAAGCCTGCGACATCTGTATTGGCTATCACACCCATTCCTGGTAGTAGGTGAACTTGAGACAGTTCATCAGATGAGAATACACCAAGAACAGATCGTTGTAAGTCAACGTCTGAAACAATGGCACACTTGAGCTGGTAAGTATTCATTCTAAAATGATGTTTCTTTCTAAATTTATTTCAAAATAAGCTGGAAACTCTGCATACACAACACACGTGGACGCTTTCGGCAGTGGTGCATTGAAATTGACTTCTAGAGAACAAGTTCCTTGTTTCACTAAGTTTAAGTACTGTCCCTCGTCGCTGAAATTTGGTTCTATTTCAAAACAATATAAAGCATTTCCTCCTGCTATATCATTTCTACTCAACTGATTTCCACTGTCTCTCATCCACTTGTTAGTCACTTCAAACATACTATTAAAAGCAGGTAGTATAGTTCGACTCGTGGCTCCATAGTTTAACTGCATAATATTCCCACCTACAGGAACTTGGTTCAGTTTGAGCGTTATTTGACTAAGGTTGAAATGTTGAAAGTTGAATGGATTTAACGTATATGAACCACTAGAACTAGCGGACTCTGTAAAAGCTATAACGCAACGAGTCGGTCGGAGCCCGTTGAACAAATTATTGTAATTGAAACTAAGACTCCCAGCAGGTATAGAAATAAGGCGCACTTCTGTTCTGGTATAGGGATATCTAGCATTTGTTGTTTGTAGTTTCTGCGCATGTGCCATAATGACAGCAGGGTTTAAACGTATTTTGCACACTTTTAACACTATGTCATCGATGATGACTTGAAAATTTGGATCTTTTTCACTTGTCATCAAAGCAAACTCAGGTCTTGAACGGTAAAGTTTAACATTAATAGCTACTTGATTCAGCATGTATCTGTCCAGACTACATAAATCATGAAATAACGGACCTTCTAAATCACACACTTGACTTTGAGTAAAATACTGTGCGCGATCGAATAAGGAAGAATTGCCACCATTTTCTACATCACTATCATCAAAATGTCCTGGTTGATCTTTTTTCCATAACTGGCTAGTCAGCTGAGATTTTTTTGCTTCAGATCCAAAAGATAAAAGAGTTTGTATCATTGCCTTGTATGGATAATGTGTGGTAGTTGATGTCACCAACTTATTTTGTAATGTTATATCAATCTGTGAGAACATAGAATGTAGAAAATTGTTAACTGGACCAACATACTCAGTAGGTTTTAGACTGTCTCCATTGATATGTTTTATTCTCGCTTTTACATATAATTTTGTTTTTCTCAAATCTATATACTCCAGTGAATTTTGGGCTGCAATGTTAAATTCTACTGGCGCAGTTCCAGTTAGCTGTGCTGTTGACCTATGCTCATCATAATACACTGAATCAATCGCTGTCTGTGTTGGTGGTAATGAAAACAGATCCAAACCACTTGGCTGAGCTTCTTGGAACCCATCTAACGATAAAGCAGCCATTTACTTGAATATGTCTTTGAAGGTTTTCACAGAGCTTTGCAGTTTTTTCTTGTTGGTTTTTTTCTTCGTATGTCTCTTCTTGTTTGATGCTTTGGTTGTCTTTCTTGACTTTTTGTGCTTAGTCAACTTTTTGGTGGTTTTACTGGGCTTTTTGGAGGTCTCGTTCGTTCGACGTCTTTTGCAAGAATTGGCATCATAACTAGATGGCTTTCTTTTTAATGTCTTTTTCTCTCTTTCAACCATGTCCTTGGCCATTTCATCCGTTTGATGGACGGGGGAGACAAGTTGAATTTTTACTTTCTCATCAGAAGGGGTTTTGGTTGGTATGCCGATTGGTGTAATGGATGACCTTGAGGTTCCAGTTAGAGACCCACCTCCGATTTGTTTTTGACCTTTGTTAGTATTGTGATGACCTTTTCTGTCTAGCTTCTCATAATAATTAATCCAGCTTCCTACATTTGGCACATACATCTTGTTCATTTTTAAAAGAATGGAAACGATTTGAAGTGTAGTGTTACCGTTGCAGGAATATCTAAAAATGAAGCTAGATTGTTGTCACCATCAGTTATATAGATATCAATATTATAGAGGTCATTTATTTTTACAGGAACATAATGCGGAACTTCGAAAATGTTTGACCAGTTTCCCATAGAGGCTGCACTTAACCTTCGAAGAAGTGGCTTTTGTTCTCCATCGACAATAGATTCACCACAAATATTAGAATACAGGTAAATGGATTCTGATTTAGATATGCTACTTGAAATGTCTGCTTCAACTAAGGCAACTCTCCAATTTCCATTTAAAAACACAGGTGAATTCAGTTGAGAAGAAAAAGTATATGCTTTGTTGTTTGGAAAATAGTTCAGAGATTTTTCACTATTGAATGTTATGTAGATGCTCATCTTCAGGAGTCATTTGGATCTGTGATATCCTCTTCATTCAACCACTGATTATATTTATCTGGCCACCCTTCAATCTTAACTAACCACTGAACCCGTCCATTTCTCTTACGTTTTCGAATTTTTTTTTCTACATACCACATAACATCTTCATCCTTGTTCACTTTAACCATCTCTGATTCATAAAATAATCCTTTTATGGAAGTTCCATCATACTCCTTTATTCTATAAACCGGTATAGCCTGCATTCGAAATCTTTGGCTAATTTTAAAAATTTCTCTTGTGAAATGTTCATCATATGAACGGTCAAATAGCATAGAAATGTAAGAAATACGAACGAAGTCATTAGCCTTAAAGTGGTATGATCGAGGCTTTTTTGATGTTATTTTCTTTGGTTTTAAATACATATATGCCCATATATCTGCTTCGTTTGTTTTGCTGACGTCTTTTGGTTGGATATTGTTTAAGCTTCTATGTGGAGTAGAATTGTATACTTTAACAATATCTTGAAGTACATCCAAGTACCTATGATTTCTCCTCTCTGTGAAGTATCGATACATCATATTTTTCACAGTCTTGATAACTCTTTCAGCGTAGTTAGCCTTTGTTTCTGAATTCTGTGTGGTGAAATATTGTATACCTTCATTTTTCAGATACGATTTCATTATGTTGTTGTTAAATTCTTTTCCTTTATCAGTTCGAATCTTTTTACATTTTCTGTTACCAGCTAAAATTTTCTTCATTGCCTCGACTACAACTTTTGCTGATTTATTTTTCAGAACCTGAATCCACAGATACTTTGAAAAGATATCCACGACGACTAATAGGTATCGAAACTGACCGTTTTCACTTGCAATGTTTGACATATCAGCGAGGTCCATGTCCCACTGATCATCAATTCCAGATACAATTACACGTGCATGACGAAAAGAATGACGGAGTTCCTTTCTTAAAGTGTAACTGTCTTGACTTCGTAATAGTCTTTTTATCCTGGATCGTCCAACATTAGTGATTCCTTTGGATTTTAATATTCTGTATATTTTTTCGGGACCTACATGTGTGTTTTTATATGTGTTTGATATTAAATCATTTATTCTATCTTGTGTGTTCATCTTGGATTTTTTTTCATTCTATGAAAGGTAAGACCTGTTCCCTTTGTATTTAAGGCTGATAGTCTTGGTTTGGTATCTCTACTGAAGTAAAGTTTTGAAAGCGAGAAGGAATTTAAATTTTACTGACACTTTCTTCAATTGAGATACCTAACCAATATGCACTTTGTGAAAATATAATAAAGAGACAAAAAACAAAATACAAGTAACTAACTTTTATTGAAATATCATTAGAAACAGTTCAAGCATCTCATTGTTCGTCTAGTAAATGCAACAGAGGCTTAATCAGGAGTGGTATTAATTTGTGATACACTAACAGTACTCGTCTTTTCCTGCTTACACTAATTCTCCCACTGGCTAAAAACTGAATAGTTTTCCGAAACTCTCGAAGTTTTCGTCTATGTACTATACTAATCATAAGTGTTGCATGATAAATTTTATATGCAATGTGTGAAATGGTTCGAATTTGATCATCGGAACTCTCCTCAATCAATTCTTTTCTTCTTCGGGGTCTATCATAGTAAAGTTCTTTCAGGAAGGTTGAGTTTTCAAAAATACGTCTGTTCATGATGAGTGTTTCACATCAAATGATAACCAATGTTAATGATCGGTGTGTTTTAAATTAATTTAATTCGTTTGTGAATCTTTCTTCCAACAACACCAATCGTTTGCACCAGTGTGACACATTTTTGGTACTTGGTTTATGTAGAATGCACCAATCCTTTAATGTAGATAAAACGTCATTTTTATAGTCATCTGGTACATCCATGAGCTTCACTTGATTGGACATCTTCCTAACCATGTCCTTCTCCGCTATCTGTTTATAAGCAATATCGAAATAAGTTTCTAAATGTTCCATTTTTGTCCACATTAAACAAGTGTGTTGAATCTGACTCGGGTGGTTTACTTCACACCCATAACAATGTTCTTTCACAATATCCGGTAAACAGTCTAAGACCATCCTAGCATACAAATATTTAAGTGTGTGATGCATAAGTTTCTCGGCTTTTTCAAATGTTGCATCCATAGTGTCTTCTCTCTACAACAATCAATCTGTAAATGAACGGAATTCGAGGATCTTCTTATAGTGTATCTCAGTCATTACGTAACATTCTTATTTCATAAGTATGTTGGACAAGGTTTTACTAGATACCATCTTTGCAAACAAACAATTTGGATCCCATTTTATATGTTCTGTTTCGATATCGTCTTCTTTAGTCCACTTTTTTAGAGTAATGTCACAATAAAAACATGTCACTCTATCTCCTATATCGGTGTAAAAAAAAACCATTATGAGCTAGATCTTCTGGCTTTTGTTTAATCTGATCCGGCCAATTTGTATATGTTTGCATTCTATTTGTGAAATACATCATATTCAGATGGGCTGGTTTGAAACGGAGGATGTCTGAAAAGTAACATCCCGAGTCTGTTTCTAAATCCATGATTAATCAGTAAAGACTAACATTTACTTATATACCACCACCACCTGAAGTCTCTACAATTTGTATAATTAAATCGTACTTCCAGTCTTCAACCTTTAATTCAACAATGTCATAAAGCTGCTTTAATTCTATGAATCTACTCAAACCATACTTAAATAATAAGATATATATCTGCCCTTTTTTTGTTGATAACAAAACCTGGTAATGTAACCTCAGAATTTTCATTTTAAAATTATTAACAACATATATCGTCAAAAATAAATATAGTAACGTAAAAAAAAAATGGATGCCGCTCACTTAAATAACAATTTTGACAAGCAAGGCAACCCAAAATTCTACAACGTGGACAACATGGACGTCATCTCAAACGTACCCTGGTTACCAACCAATGTTGCTCTACCTTGAAAAAGTCAGCAACGTGGAAACAAAAATGGACGACAAACATACCCCTGGTTACCGACCAATGTTGCTCTACCTTGCAACGTGGAAACAAAATGGACGACAAACATAACCTGGTTACCAACCAATGTTGCTCTACCTTGGTCAAAAGTATGACACGTGGACACAAACATTCCACCATCACTAGCACAATATTTACATAAGCTGCTCTACCTGCTCTACCTGCTCTACTGTTTTCTTATCCCTATTCTACTACTACTGTTATATGTTAACGAACTGAGGTAGTAGTACTTCGTATATTTCAATTGTTTGTCAATATCCTATCCTTGTGGTCAATTTTGATTATGTTAAATTAGGTAAAAAATCTAACGCCTGAGACACGTTTTTTGAGCCAGAAATAAAATACACTTTCAAAATGCTAAATATTTTGTTAATTGCTGTTGAAGTTCGAATTCCTCTTGTGGTTATCTGTTATGTGTAGCACATTCAATTGAATTGATCACACATTGTCGCTGTTTTTCCACAAAACATCATCTAATAAAGTTTATTTTGTAAATGTGTTAGGAATGTTGAAGAGTGTCAATTATTTTTGTGTCATTCTAAGTAACTGTAGCTTTAATGAAGGAGATGTTAGATCAATGAGACAACAATAAATAATTGAATGAACAATGAATTTGGTACAGATGTAATTATGTTTATATGAATTATGGAAATGAAGTTCATTTATCTGTTACCATTTAGAATAGAAGTTATAATTTCTGTAATAAACTGTTTCTGAGAGATGGTTAACCAGTTAGTCGGTAACTAAATTATGTATTACAGGTCAGAATATAATTTGATTACTTGTTTCCTTGGTATGTAGTATAAGTCCCACTCGAGTTGAATTGCAATAATATTTCCTTACATGTACCAAATGTAGCAAAGCAGTAAAAAATTCTTTAAACTTATACGAACACAAAAGAAAACAATAATTCTAAATTTAATATCTAAATTGTGAATTTGATTTTCAAGATTGATTTTTTTTTTATCTATTGTAAATTCAATATCCGAAAGGAAAAACAAAAAGATAGCTTGTAACCGATGAAGCTTTTACGAATGATACATCTTTTACCGAAATATTCCGTTGTGAAATCTTTCAAAATTGAAATGAAATTTAAATGACAACTATTTTTCAAAGCTCCTTTCGATATCAATGGACCTTTTTGTACAAAATTCTTACAAACCGGCAACACCCGAATACGGTAGACAAACATGTATTTTATAATCAGTAAGGTAACGAAAAATGTTGATAACGACGTCAGCTTTTTTTTTTTTTTTTTTTTTTCATACTATATATCTTTTAATGTGTTTCCTATCTGAAAAAATGTCGAAATTATCAAATGAAAAAAAGTCTTGTCATTCTCATTACCTTTTTTATTCGAAATGTGTGCAAAACAAACATAAGAACAAAAACGTCATTTTGTTTTTGTCAAAAAGTAAGTCTTGATAGTCTGTAAAGATCGTAAAAGTTGACGAGGAATCGCCTTTCCTACTCGAATGATTGTGTTCAAATTTCAAGGATGGATCGGTAAATAAACACTTGCATGACATAATTGTATAGTTACTTTGAGTCAAATAAGACAATTTAAGAGAACATTAAGGGTTAAATAGAACAGACAAAATAGTATCTGGTCCATTTTAAAGGAGGGAGCATCAAGTAGAAAATTAAAAGCATTAACAAAAATACCGACCTCCAAGGTAAATTAAAAACGGGGAAGTTCATAATACATGTCAAAACCAAATGCTCGACTATATCAACCAACAGAACGAACAGGAAACAACTGTCATATTCCTGACTTGGGACAGGCATTTTCCGAGAAAAATGTGGGTTAAACCTGATTGTAAAGCTAGCTAGAACTCCCACTTGTATGGCAGTTGTTTATAGTTCCGTCATATTGATATGTGAGCAATCCAAACAGACACATATTTTGCAGCAAATAACCGGAAATGTAGCATTTAAATCATGCCAATTACTTCCGATCGGATGGTACCCTCGAGGACTGAAAGTCACCTCATTACATTTTCCCATAAGTATGTATACTATTGATTAAGGAGAGATACCGCAAGATCCGATGCAACGCCATCATAATACGAGAAGGAATATATCAGATGTGTAGCATATAAATACTCGGCAAGAACATATAATAATTCATTTTATTACGTTTTGATGGATTTTGTTGTGGTGCTTTAAAATGTTGTAAATAGAATTTTACCCCGTGATTTTAGTAGATGTAAACAGAGTTTTATACCAGTAAACATGGTATATTTGTAATATGTTCATATGTAAATTCGAAATTTGTATTTCGATAACCGGTGGTTTGCATTTCTGTTATGTGAAAAGTGTACACAAACGGTATAACAGTTTGTTTGTTTTTTTTTTTGTAATATTGCCCTGAATATCCTATCTTGCTTGTGATAACATAGGCAAACAGAAAAGCACGTCCTAATTTTTACGGTGATGTTGTTTATATAGCCAGTTAATTTAGATACAATCCATGTAAACTTGTGGATAAAAAAAAAACTATCAATTCAACACTGTAGTAAGATTTTTAATATTGTCTTTATTGTGTTTTTAATAAATTTAAACATAATTTAAAATATATCATAATGGCTATACTGTTATGAACACTTTCTTTCCTACATCCTGTCGAAACTTATTTTGGCATTGCACAAGGTTACGCTTTTCCAAGACTGTATATGGAGTCTTCATTCTTAAGCTGTTCAATTTGTATCTATTGAAACTTTAGTTTTGGAAAACTTTAAATTTATCTGTGAAATTGAATTTGCTTTGCATCAGCTCTTAAAATCTGTCGGGTGAGTTTTTTTTTTTTTTTTTTTTTTTTTGTAATGGTTTCTTCGTATACCCGATCTGATAAGTCAAACTGACTTTAATATTTATGTCTCATGTTGTGCTGTTTCACCTTTGTCCAAGTTATAAAGGAGAGGGTTGAGCGTTCACAAGAAGTTTTTTCGCGTAAATAGTTTGCGATGCTATTAAGCGAATAATTTGTTTATATTCTGTAAATTGTGTATGTTTTTATATGAATCGCTATACTCAAGATAAATACATTTGTATAGTTTATAGGATGCACTTACCTACAAGTTTTGAA